TTTGTCACCTTATTCAATACATAATTTTGTGTTAGGTACTTCATTGCAGTATGATAAACAAGCAGGTCACAGTTAAACAGAACAATTCTGAAAAAAATGGCAGCTATAATAAGACACTTACTAAATATGCAGCTGATGCATCTGGAGTACAGCTAATCGTAACCTAAAATCTCAAGTTTATTAGTCTAAGCCATCTTAATGCCTTCAAATGCTGAAAGCCACATAAGAATGAGAGGTTTTCAAGATTAGTTTTTCAAAAATATTTGTTATTTATAATCATTGTTTAGTGGTATGATATTGCAGTAGACTATTTTTTCTGTTTGTAATTCATTCCTTACAGTAAAGAAGATTGTTAAAAAAACTGAACAAGGAGGTACAGGTAACTTTGTTTTTTTCACTTATGCTAATTGATCAAACCAGTGAAATATAATAAACAACTTTTTTGGAAAAACAACTTGTTTTATTCTCTCTCACTCTTTCTCCGGTTTAGAATAACCCACGTTTCCCTCCAAACTATTTAATCCTACGACCATCTTTTAACAGACTAGTACACTTTTTAAACTTTTTTCCCCCATTTGTTTCAGTGTCAGAGGGACAAGAATATGAGGAAGCAAGGAATTTTATTAATTATGGTGATGGTGCTTCTGCAGCCCAGCCAAGTTCTCCTTTGATCAACAAGGAAGCTGTTGTTGGGAAAGATATCAACTCTGGAAAAAAGAAAGAAAATGAATCAAGTGGCTCAGGTGAAAAACAAGTGTTGTCCACCATTTCTAAACAGATAACTTCAGAAAATAGTAGTAATAACGTGTATTTCTCCCTGCTATACGAAGAATCACTTGTTGAAAAAGATACCAGAAAAGTTATGAGCAAATTTTAAAGTTTCTAAAAATAACAGTAGATAAGATAATAAGATTTGTCACAGGAAAAAAAAAGGGTTTTAATTACACTAAGAATTTAATGCTTCAGAAATTCCTTTGTGTATTTTCAGTTATTATATCGAAAACGTTGATATTATCGCTGTATCATATTTTTGTCCGTTTATATATTTGTCTCGGTAAAATAACTTGTATATTGTTTGGTTGACACTGGAGGTCTTTTTGTTATCAAAAAATATGAAATACCTACTAGCATTGAAAAGAGTTTGTTACTCTTTGAACCAGTCATTATCCTTTGATGATTACAATAGGGTTTCCTAGTTTAGCTGGGAAAATGTCTTTAACAATTGCTTTACTTGGTTTATTTTAATATAATTATTTGGAAATGGCTTCATTGTTTTCTTGACCCATTTTTAGACCTTATTGGATAAAGGCTGGTTTAGAATAAACCAAGTTACCTTCCAAATTTAATTTATTTAATCCTATTGCCATCTTTTAACAGACCAATCCAGTTTTTAAACTTTTTTTTTTTTTCATTTGTTTCAGAGTCAGAGGAAGATAAATTTGTAACTGCACCGGAGTATCCTAATATTGCTTATGGTGCTTCTACTAACCAGCCAAGTTTACCATTGCTCAACAAGACAGTTGTTGTTGGGGAAGATCTCAACTCAGATCAGGTCACTGGAGAAAAAAAAGAAGAAAATGAATCAGATGACATGATAAAGAAGAAAGGACCACCGACCATTCCTGAAAAAACAGGTGCAGAAACCACACCAATAACCTACTTTTTGGTTTTTCCTATTACAGAAAGCGTCACAGTTTGAAAATGACTTCTTGAAAATAATCAGCATTATTCAGCATTAATCAGCACTATTCACTGTTATCTAAAGATAAAGATAAAGATAATCTAAAGATAACAGTGAATAGGATGGTGTATGTGTCCAGGAAGACACAGAAAAGGGAAACTGCTTTTATATAGTTGTCTGTAGCCTTGGAGCGCCATAATGTCAAAACTATTCAACACCAATACCTTTCAATACTCTTCTGAAATTATACATACAGTCCCTCATACAAAAGATCAGGACAGAATAGGCAAATCGCCAGACAGACAGACAGACAGCAGCATAGAAGAGGCAGACGAACATGAATTTCTTGACATTAAATCCAGTGAAGCATAGAAAATATAAAATGAGCTCTTTAATAGGATTAAACAGGATTTAATAGGATTGAACAGAGTAAATAAACTGTACATTTTAGAAAATGACACCAGACAGTATTTGTATTAAATCATCAACAAATCTGTCACAATTTATAGACCACCTAAAGACAGTGCTGCTTTTATCAAGGAATTCTCAGAATTTTTAACAAACATACACTCAAAATATAATATGATAATTTTAACCGATGATTTTAACCTGCACATAGATAATCCTTCTGATCCCGCATCAAAAGAATTCTTAAACATTCTTCACTGTTTGGATTTTACCCAGCATGTCACACAGCCGACTCACAACAGAGGACACACTCTGGACCTGGTCATCACCCATGGGCTGTCCACCAGTGTGTCCTCTGTTGTTGACTTGGCTGTCTCTGACCACTACTGTGTGTTTTTTAACATCACCGGTTTTATTCAGCGGGAGACCTTGGTGCGAACTGTGAGGAGGCGCTATCTAACCTCTGAAGTGGCTGCAAATTTTACCAGGGTTTTAGACGAATGCCCCCCTGTGATTTTACCTGCACCCTGTGATTTTATTTTTAATCATTCAGCAAACTGAAGAAAAGCCTTGACTCCGTTGCTCCACTCACCACCAAAAAGATTAACGTAAAACATGCATCACCCTGGAGAAACGAAGAAGTCAAAAAACTCAAAAGAAATTGCAGGGCAGCAGAAACTTGTATTTGAAGTCACCCTAAACTGGCAGTTTAAGGAATTGCAGTTTTTAGCACCTGGTTTCAATTATTTAATACTGGTAGTTTCCTTCTACTAACTGGGAATGGAAGAAGGAAACTTCTACAGGGCATTTCTGCTCTATCTGAGCACTCAAAGCACGTTACACAACTTAGCTTATTAACAAATTTACTCAAGCAGTTTTTAGTCTGCTGTTTCTATGTGACTGCTTTTTATCTAACATCCACACACAGAAGCAGCATTTGGTGACAGTTACAATGAACTTTGTATAAACTTGTAAAAGCTGCGTTTTCAGCTCCTTGTCTGGGTGCTGTGTCTTCCCTTCCCCATGTTGGTTCCTGTGGTTGAGTGTGGGGTGCAGATCTGTGGGGGTCTCTCCTTCCCCCTTTCGTCCTCTTTTATGCCCTGGCTAGCTGGCCTCCATGGTTCAGGACAGGGGTCCTCCCTGCATCCCTGCATCTGGCTCTCTGAGGCCCATGCTGCCTGGGTGGGACTGGGATGTGCTCACTGCCTTCTTTTGGGTCTCTGTTGTGTTCCTTAGCAAACTGGTATTCACTGTGGCTTGGTCTTCACTTTTGGTTGTGGCCTTCAAAGGTTTTTGAGTCATGTAGATTCTCACCACTGCTCTCATCACTCTCTTCTTTCATGTAGGTAAAAAAAGCGAAAAAACAAAAAGACTCTCACATCTATACTGCAGTTTAAAATGAAAAAAATAACCCTATGACTATCAACCTAAGCTTTTGTTTGGTTCTCATTAGCAATGAAAAGTTATGATAGCAAACATGTAAAGGATTACACGTTAAAAACAAACACATGTTAGCAATGCCATTGTACACCACCATAGTGAATTTCAAATCTAATAGATGACTGAAGTGCAGACATTTGATTTAAATTGAGTGGATTCGATAAAGTATTCTGTTAACTATAAGTATTAATAATTATTCTATCAACTGCCTATTAACTTACAGCCATTTTTATACATAGTGATGCTATTTATAATCACTGATGGATGGTTTAATGTTGCTACAAGTGTATTTTTCTCTTTGCAATTCATTTCTTACAGTTAAGGATAAAGTTAAGAAATTTGAGGAAAAGCAACTGGCAGGTAATCTTTGTTTTTTCCTCTTACACTAATTAAAAACCACTGAAATAAAATCATCCTCAAATACTTTAAACAGATAAACTTTTAGCAAATGCATTGTTTATTTAATTAACACTTGTGCCATTAACACATTTTCATTAATGGCTGTTGCTTTTACTGGAAACTATCACTATTTTTAATTTGTTGGTATGTCACAGCTTTTTTTCCTTCAAAGTTATATTAAATAGTAACCAATTTATAACATGAAAACAAGCATTTACATGAATAAAATAAGTTAAAGACCAAACTAAGTTTTCAGCAGTCCTTGTTAAAAAATTGTTTCTGAATCCCAATCCAGGTTTTTATGTTGTTTAATCTCCAGAAAAAAATTCTTATCTTTGTTTTATTCTTTTGTTTTTCCAATTTAGAAAAAAACAAAGATGGACCTCGTGTGGTCACAAGAAATCCTTCTTTTTTAAACGATAAAGGACAACTGGATAAGAAAGTCAAGAGTGGTCAATTGGAAGAACATACCGAGGCCACACAGCCTGATCTGCAAACACAGATTCCTTCTAAAGGACCAGGTTTGAAAATTAAACTATGCCAGTTAGATTCAGAATAACTTTGCACATGAATTTTTCTGACTCATTTCTGAATGTGTAATAACATAATTCAGTTTTTAGGGATCATTTGCCAAATTAATGTCTTTTTCTTTTACCTTATTATATTACATTACATTGCCTGAGTTATTACTTGTATATATATATTTAGATTTTGTGTATTTTTAATAATCTTATAGGAAATTTTATGTAAATTCTATCATCCAGGTATCATATTTGTTGTCAGTTTATGTATTTAACCTGTTAAAATAGTGTTGCATATTGCTCGGCCTTGGAAAAACTACTTTTACTCTCAAAATAAGAATTTACACCAAATTGAGCAACACCAGGTGCTCAATTGAGTACAGTGCCAGGAAGAATCACTTGAACAGTCTGCCGTAGTCTTACAGCTGTTTAGGTGTTGGTGAGCTCACCAGCGCATGTCTACATTTTAAGATCATTGATTTGATGATTCCTAAAAATGTTTGTTGACTTTCTGATAGATTTGCTTTGGTATTTTAGCTTAATTGTGGCCTCTATCACTCGCATCACCATCATTATTATCTCTTTAAGCCTCATATTGAGAGTCTCAATGAAACGAAACCAAATACAAATTCAAGGCTTAGAATCAATTCCAGAGCTTGTATCTGTGTCATGCAATAGCAAACTGACCTCACCTGGCCATGAAACTGCTTGTCAGTAAGTTTTCCAGGTACTTTGAACCTCTGAAAAATCAGAGACTTGTGGACCTGGCTGTTATTGATCAGACTAGTGAAAGACAGTAATCCTCAGATGTTTGGGATAACTATGGCAAATGGGTGGTTTCCTTAATTAATCTTCTTCTTTCAGCTACTCTATTTAGAAGTCGCCTTCATGTATGATCTGTTCACTTACTACAAATTCCTATTTTCATGAATAACTTTTTTTAGAGTACAACATTTTGCTTTTAGTTTGAATCTTTATCTTTTTCTTTTCCAAAAGTGAATTTAAATAATAATCAGTTCATTAAATTAATTGAAGTATTTTTATACATAAACTAAGCCGCTAACCAAACGAACTTAACATTACCACTAGCTACTAACGTCCAACCTCCAAGGTAGCTTCCATATGGTTTAATTTTGTAAAGAAATTTTGTTTTTGTTTTTGTGTCAGATTTAGAAAACGACAAAGATAAGCCCAATAAAATTTAACCCTCCATTCTGTTTTCCTGATGCAAAAAGTACAACAGCAACATTTTTATTTTACAATAAAAAAAACACTTTTTGAACCAGTGGTCTTGCTTTAATAACATAATTTACATTGCTTAGTTTCAATAGTCAGAACTATTTGTACAAGCACATGTCACATTTGAAAAAGTGCTTTTCTTCCAGTTACATTTATTTCTTATTCTAATACTGTCCATCCTTTCTTGGCGAATGCTTTCTTGACACATTTTTAAACATTAGTAGAGTAAGACAGGTTCAGTTTAAACCAGTACACTCGCCAAATCATTAGATTTTCTGCTATTTTTAAACAGACTCATGCACTTTTATGAATGTATTTATATTCTTTTTAAATGTATTTTTTGAACCAGTGGTACTCTTTTTTTTCTTTTTCTTTTTCTTACGTTTTTTTCAGAGTCAGAGAAAATGGAGGATGAAGAAGCAAAGTTTGCTGATGAAAGTTCGA